CATCAGTACTATGTAAATGCATAGAATAAATTTATCACAATACAGAATATCCCATTTATACCTATATAATTTTGGAGTAAGTAATTTAATTCCTACATTTGTATAAAATTCAAAAGTGTTGCTGAGCTGTAATACACGTAACGGACTTGAGCCGGAATCTGTGAGGACTACTGGATGGAGGGTAATTCAGATGTTACATTAACCAAAAAATGATTAAGATATTACTAGCTTATAGTCATATTGTCGTTATATGAACTAAGGCAACCTAATAACTGACTGGGCCGATGTGAGTCACTAGTGCAAGTAATGAAGCAGCAAATAAAAATCTCCATAAAACAGAAAAAGTTTTAATGTAAGAGATCTATTAGGAGTTTTCAATACAGGGCTATTTATAAAACCTATAATGGTGGATCAATTGCATTAACTTTAGGAAGTATGAGGTATTATGCAGGCCTATCTGAAATATAGTTCACAAAGGTTTCGAATCCCGCTGTTGGTACTTATAAGGTATACGTAAAGACAGCACTTAATTCTGCTCCAGATAGGAATGACTCTTGTGAGTCGAGGGTATGCGAAATACAATGAAAGCTCTAGGTTAAGTCATTTCATTGGCGGCAAATTTAACTATCAGCACTACATCATTTAATGCGATCTAATCTGATTTATTATGTTAGTAAAATCAGGTGATAATTCGAAACCTACCCATTACTCAAATAGGTAAGAATTAATTAATCATTGGAATTAAATAGCAAGCTAAGGGCTAATTTATCTTCTTTATAACCTTCCCATTTTTTGTACAATAAATCGTTTTATTGTAAAGTTTAAAACCTTTCTGATATACTTTTGTGGATTCAGAAGATAGTTATGATGAGAGCATGCAAGAGTGAGAGTTATTTTGCTAGCAAATAAAATCAAGTAATTTATTTAGCATATGGCAGTAGCCATTGAATTCGAAATTAAGGTCATGTATATAATTTAAGATTTGATTATTGTTATGCTCAAATGATCAATATAGAAGCCTTCCAGTCAAGAATGGATCTTGACTTTTAATCCGACTTTTTTTTCTATGCAAGACACTAAACAGGAAATATGAGATTATTATTGTGTCAATTCCAAAATAATTCAAATTTGGCACATATAATTCTTATTGATGCAAGCTCGATTATTCAGCTTTAAGCATGAGAAGAATTAGGGAACCTCTATGCCTACATACGCAACTAAATGCCTGCTAACTTTACATTTTATTATCAATTGTAGACTAATTCCTCGTGGGACAACTTTTAGTAAGTCCTCCATATCCTGTCCTTACCTTTTTAGAAAGTGTTGCTTTAGCGGATAGCTGTTTCTTAATAATCCTCATTAGCTAGGATAACGTTCGGACGCTAATTGTAAAAGGAAGTTCTGCTGACAACCACAGATTTATGGCCTAATCATAGATGTGTCAATGCAAAAAAAAAGTATTGGTGACTGGCGCGTGGTTGCCTATTTAAGAATACATTGACTTACGGAAGTCTGAATCCCATTTCGAAATATTTGCTAGACTCAATTTAGCCTGGAAATATGCTGCAATAAAAACGTTATCTTCCTTACTTATCCAAGTACACTGACCCGCAAGCCTCAAATGAAAAAATGTCATAAACAATTTTCCTGGAATTAAGCAAAGTAAGATTCACTGAAATAGTTTAGTTTCACCAGTACTTATAAGCTATATAGTAGAAATACAGGTTTTGCTCTGACGTATCAAATCGTATCGAAAATTAGTTAACGTAAACTCGTGTTAAAATCTAGTTGTTCATGGGTTTAGAATAACTTTTGTAATTCTATTAGATTTACTATGACTGCTCATGAGCCTGTATGGTAGCATAGCAAGACCTTTGGTATCAAATAAAACAAAATTTAATCTTCTTGGCCGTTATGCAAAGCGTTAATTTATTCACAAGCTAAAAATCCTATTTAAAAGAGGCAAATTTAATCGGGATATGACTGTGGAATTTGAACAAGAAATGGGAAACAAAAATAAGTTAATAGAAATAAGTTAGTAGAGGCTTTGGAAAAATCATTTATATCCTCCGAAAGAAGGATTTAACATATATAAATGCCTTTATTTAGAATGAAATCTCAGAGCGAACAGTTAAACTAACACTAGAGTGGTTCAGAATAAAAGAGGAAAATTCTAGCATACTTCGACTAAATGTTTATGAGACAGTCTAAAAATTGAAGCCCATAAACCTTTTCAAGAAACTTGACGCTGCTTAAGATTTTGTGATGAAAAATTAGCAAATATTTACCAACATAGATTTGAACACTTAATGGAAATAGACTAAAATACTCATAGCGCTTGGAGCTAGAACAAGGAGGGGGAGAAGATGCCACAATATTCGAAAAAAAATGATCCAGCTAGTTGTCTTTATTTGTCACTTCAATGTATTGCAATTTGATGCAAAAATAAACTGAGATTTATCCAAATTTCTTAAGTGTGTTTTTAAATACGAGTTGTTTCGAAATTACATTTATGGTGTAAGGTATTGTCTGCGAACAAAAATAATAAATCTTCCAATTTTGGTGAATTGCTAGCGAAATGAAATATGAAAATATTTAAATTAATGAATATCGAAATCTTTAATTAGGCTCAATGTTAGTTGCTCTGTGAAAACCAATTTTAAAAATATTTTGTATTAATTTTAGCTGATTTTCATCTATTCAACTTTAGTTTATCCATAGTTCCAGGCAGTAAGTTCAAAAAAGCAACTTTTATTAAAACTTGCCTGCAGAATATAAGCTGCCCTTCAAATGTAATCTCATCTCAGATTATTATAGCAGAATGATATAAAAAGGAAAGTTTTACATGATTTTAATAGTTTAAGTTGAACAATGGTTCAGAATTATATCCTTCATCATAGTAATGTTTTAATAAATTTTGAACTTAAATAAGATTTTCGATAGTCAATATCTGTAACTTATGAATAGATTATAGGATACATAACATTTTTTCGCTAAAAATGAAGCAACTTACGATTTCTTTTGAAGAGAATGCAGTAGAATCCAATAGCCAGGCAGAGAAAATATTACAGGCTATAAAAAATGCTTGCGAAACGAGAGGCAGAATAGGGGTACTTGGCGATAATAAATCGGTTTCCACTAATTCGCAGCAATTGGGAGGCGTGGATGCGCTTTTAGTGTCTGAAAGCGTTGGCGCCCATGAAGTGACTGGGCAGATTTTAGGTACAAATGTGCACGTGGATGAGACCGCAGCTAAGCTGTTTGATATGCGAAAAAAAGAAGATTATGGGAAGGATAAAGTAATCATTGAAGATTGAGGCAGGATTTCAAATAGAGCTACTATTGCCGGAGTGGCAAGAAACTGAATATTAGCAATATGGAGGGACAAATAATGCCCATCTGTGAGATGTATAAGGACTCCGGGTGGGATAATCAAAAAACCAGAGACAAAATTGTTTTTATTAGAATCTAAAGGTAAAGTGAGGTAATAAAGTGAATAAAACAGTGAAAATGAGAATGAAATAATCGGACAGATGTTACGATATGAAGGAAGGCGACAAAAGATATCATAAGATAAGTGTAGTTGATTTTTATTCGTCAGTAAGTATGAGATAGATAGGTATTAATTCAAGAGAAGTCTTCATTGCATTTTAGTAAGAATCTTTCCACTAAAATTAAGATTTCAGGAAAGTCCATCAAACGGAGCATTCTATAAAATAGTTTGGTAATAATGTTGAGGTTATCTCCACTCAGTGATAAACTCTTTCGCACTGATTGGTACATGAAATAAAGTCGGCCCAGCAATGGTATATAAGGATCTTAATTAAATCTTTCTAATATCAAAACAAATATCACGGAAATTATTTTTTATAAGCTACTCAGTAGCATTCTTAGCTTAATACCTCTACTCTTAGATAAATTAGATATCGTTATTAAAGTAACCTAAATTATTATTTCATTATGAAATGAAATAATTTCAAAATATTACTCGACTTTTATTATTCCTATATTTTAATGCGATATATATATATATAATAGTAGCCTATAATTCAATTTGTAATCGGTTCATCTGATATGAAGTTATTTGATGAGTTCAAATATCCTTTTTGTTAATGGTATAAATATATGGTAGAATATATATATATAATAATTTCAGTCCGAATACTTTGATATACAGCGCCAATAAATTTCCGCATGATAGAACATATCAAAACGGTATTTTGATAAATTGATAGGTAAATGGAGGAGGAAAAATCTAGTATCATTAAATTTTGGAGTAAAAGGAAAGGCATAGAGCCCATAGCACAAGCATGTTCTTGAACTGTATTTGGGTTTCATGTTGAAGTCACATTAAATCAGATAAGGCATTCATATAATGTGTCTTTGGTAAGGAGCAAGTTTCACACTAAGATTTTTATTATTCCCCTCACAGTTCCTTAGTCTGGCTTTGATCAGAGAAATAACTCCAGGGCTTTTGAATAATAATGAGAATTCTGGATGTCTAGCAGGGCTAAGGTCTATTGGTTTCAAACATTACAAATGCAGTCTTTTATAGGGTTGTTAAAGATCTCTGCAAATAATATTAAAAGTTTCGTCTGATATAAAAATTCATGAGAAAAGTTAGGACGATTCAAGGGAGGAATATATAGATTAAAAATCCTAAAAAAAAGCAAATAAAAATCCTTTGACAGTATTTGGGTCTCAAGCCGTCACTCTTATGGAGCTATCTGGCTTTCTTTATAGATATCACTGAGATACTTTGCAAAGAAATTAGTGGTTTTTACCTTTTCTTCAGTTATGAAAATTTAGCAATCTATTTCGTCGTAAACTGGCGAAAAATTTCCATTAGGCTTAAACTTGGTTATATTTAATCAATTACCAAAGGAACTTAAAATAACTATATTCAGGAAATAAAGTGTGCTACACATTAGTCGAAATTCAGCTCCAACATGCATTCCCATTGTCTCATGTTTTGTTTTTTTTCTAATCAATTGTAAAAGCATTAAACTCTCCGTTCCGTATATAGAGTTATCCCCTTAGGACTACAAGCTTAACTTCATAACGGTCTTATTAGACAATCTGAAACAAATAAGTGGGCACCATTATTTTAGTTTTGAATGGGCTCCAAAATTACAGCTCTTGATCAACATATTTTTTAGTGACTCCATGTCGACAATAAAATCCGTGTATTTACTTCTGTCATCGTTAAAAAGAAGAGGCAATAAGCTAGCCGTAAGTAAACAGGGCCTAATTTCCAAAGCTGCATGCATTTATGATCTCCTGCCAAGACTTTTAAATTCACTCTTATTCATCCTACCACTTTGCAATTACACATGCTATTCTCGTTACAACTACCTAAGTTATAGCATGAGGAGGTTACTACCTAACTTGGAATAACTTATCCCTAAATGATTAGTTCCATGTTTTATCTGATGCTGGAAATGAACATGAATACTATGGCAGAGGACGCAGAATTAGATACGTTCCACGAGGTCTTTCTGCTGCTCCAATCAAGTTGCGAAAGTGAGGTCAAACCAGCATTACATAGCCAAAGGAGGCTTCAACCAAACAAAAGGCTACAGCATCTTGGTTATTACCTTTGCCTGGACTCAGAGGGATATATTCTCTAGTCACGTGATCTATAGATAAAGTCTCATTTAATAAGAAAATTCATATTTCTATAATGTCCCATCTAGCAGTTGTCGTTCATTTTAAATCTAAAGTATTATTGCGCCTTATTCCTCTCTAAATCAAATTAATTCGGTCCTTTTTATATATACCTACTTAAAGGTAGGGTTGAAAACAAACAAACATAATCTGGCTCTCCAAAAATGATTTTCTGACAGTTAAATATATTATAGTAGCCTCTAATTAAATTTTTAATTG